CACTAACACACATTAATCTTTACCTATACATCTATTAATCCACACACATACAAACACTGACATGCACAGGCACGTACACCCAGACACACAAAAACATGCTTACACAGACACGCGTGTATGAAGAGTCAGGAGCATGGTCACGAACGGACACCTACACACACACACACACACACACACACACACACACACACAGACACACACACACGCTCGCCCTTGCCTGGCCTGAAACTGATGCCCTTGCTAAGCCTGGCTTGGGTGGGCACCACTGGGCCGCTCTGCAACCCTTGGCCAGGAGGACCCCAAACCTCCTGGCAACAATCCCCTCCCAGGACAGACAATCTGAGATGGGGTGGGGGCTGCTAGGCACCCCTAGAATTATGACTGCTCTGAGGCTGCCATTAGGAGCAGCAATGTCACCGAGGCCATTAGCTGCCTAGGCAGGGCTGTAAAACATGCCTGGCTCAGCGTGCTCTCCTCCAGCCACGACTGTGTCTGCAGTCACCCCGCCCACAGGGCAGTCTCAAATGCCAGAGACAGTGGCCTCTCATGGCCAGGTGCTAATGAGACAAGGTCAGCAGGGAAAAGCTCCTCCGTGCCCCCAGGTAGATAATCACCTGGCTGGTTGGCTGACGACCCTGTGGGGTGGGGGTGGGCAGTAGGCAGTAGTTCTCAGCGAGGCAAGGCAAGCTGGTCTGCGCTCTGCCCGGAGCCGGCTGGATCCAGCAGGGGCTTGGGCTAGAGAGGGCTATGGCCACCAGGGGAGGGGCTGAGATGACACCTGGCCCCCAGGTGGGCTCTGCCAGTGCTTGGAGCTCCCAAGGCACACTCAAGGCCAGACCCTGGGCAGCAAGCCAACCCCAGAGCCCAGCAGCTGGCATAGCCCAAGCTTCTCCAGGTCCCCTGCCTGGTCTGCTCAGGACGCCAGTCTGAGCTCCTGAAGTCTTCTGGGAGCTGGATGTGTCCGTTGCCCCAGCACCCATGTGAGAGACCCTCGGGAACCCTCCGTGGCCATCCTCCCCAGCCCTTGCTCATGGGGAGCATTTGGGTGACACCCCCTGCTGGGCACAGGAAGTGGAGGGGCAGCTTCCAGAGGGGTCCCTACCATACGTCCAAAAGCCTAAAAGCTGAAGAGAATACACTTTGTTCAAGAACTCAGTGATATAGCTGTGAACAGGGACTAGCATGATGGAGGGCAGAGCGGGGAGGGGACATGGTGCGTTCAAGGCTTGGGAGAAACCCAGACTGGCTAGAAGGGGGTGGGGGAGCTGAAGAACAGGTGACGCCCAAACCAAGCAGCCGCAAGACAACAATTCAGGTCTTTAACCTGGGGACACCGGGAGCCACAAATGGGGAAGGAGTGATGTGATCTGATTTGACACGACATCCCTGGCAGTCTCCTGCAGCACGTGGCCATTATTCTGATACCAAAATGCAGAGGTGGACGGGTACAGGAAAAGGGGAGAAGACATCTCACAGTGTGTCAGGGACTGTGCACTAGCACCCGATGTTTTGCCAAAAGAATGGTGCTTGTATCTGGTGTTAAACCAAGAAGCTGAGTTCCATCCATTCTTTTATTCATTCACACATGCATATTTGTATCTACCATCATGTAGGCCTCATGAAGATAAGAAATAAACCAGATCCTGCTGTCCAGGGGTGTACTGTCCAGTAGAGGAGGAAGAAAGGGAAGGGGCAAGAGCTGGAACCAGCATTTATGGAGCGCCTGCTGTATGCCTCACAATCACCTGCTGAGGAAGGTACTTCCCAGGCCATTTTATAGACAAAGAAACAGACTCAGGGTGGAGCCACCTGCCCACATTCTCACAAAGGGCTCCAGCCCCGAAGGCAGAAAGGCTTCAGAGTGACAGAGAGCAGCCTGAGCTCCTCCAAGGGTAATTTCAATCCTTGTCTTCAGGCCCAGCAAGGTTCTGAAGTTCCCGGAAAGGATGAGACCCTCGGGGATTGGTCTGAGGGCCCAGCGCTGCCTCCCCCTCTGCTGTGATTAATGCCTGACATTCCCTCCACTTGCAGGGAACTCATCAGACTAATATTTCCTGATGTGAACTCCATGTCGCCCTCGAATGAGAAATCCCAGCCCCTTCACATTCCATGCCCCAGATGAATGGGCTCCCGTCCCGGGTTCCATGAATGATGCAGCCCATGTCTGCAGAGGGAGGTCGATAAAGACCCTTTATCAGCAGAACCATGCCCCCCCACCCCCCGGCCAGCCATTGGATCCCAGCTCCCCTGTGACGCTGCTCCTCTGGAGCTGACCCTGGACTGCCTGCCACAGATGGGGAGGCAAGGTCAGTGCCCAGCAGATGGGAAGAAAGGACTCCGTGAAGGAGGGATAGGCCTTCTCCAGCCCTGCCTCCCATAGCTGGGGCTCTTGGGGATCAGAAGGAAGGGGCGGGGTCTGCCAACATTTTGCTGTGAGCCCAAGGAGGGCATAAGCATGTAGCCAGGCTGGGAGCAGATGGCTGCTGAAGGCAACCCAGAACCTCCAAGGCTCTGTGGAGTGAAAATGGAGGGTGTAGAGCCAAGTGGTTCTAGGAACAGAAACACCAGTGGTTGTTCTAGTGGTGACAGAAAATAGAAATGGTATCCAGCGTCATTTACTGAGTACTTGCCATGTGCTAGGCATGGTGCCCTGATCCTCACAGAGCCCCACGTAAAAGGAGGTATGACTCCCTTTTACGGGCGAGAAGAGTGAGGCCTAGAACAGTTAAATGACAGTCTGAGTGGAGGTGTCAACATTCAACCTTAGATTTCCCTAGCTTCTAAGCTGTGTTTATAGCTATTCATCATCCAGCCATTCAACTGCTATTTGTACAATGATGTCTTTGTGCCTGGCATTGAGCCAAGTCCTGGGAATATACAAGGCAGAGGTGGTCTCTGTCCCCATGGAGCTTGCAGTCCTGTAGGGGTAACTGACAATTACCAGGGGACAGTGATGCTTCAGTGAGAATGTGGGTTGGGCCCGGCTGCTCAAGGAGGATCTTGCCAAGGAGAGGGGAGCACCTTACCTTGCCCTTAGCACAGTTCTTCCTAGGGAGAAGCCAGTCCAATGTCGAGTATGGGTCCTGAGAATAAGCTCTCCTTGAGGTAGCCAAAGGTAGAAAGAATCCAGGGCTGAAAGTCAAAGCACTGAAGGCCAAAGCCAAGAAAAAGAGAGCAGCCGTCCTGCCCAGCAGGTGCCCACGGGTTTATAGCAGAAGTGGAGTGAGAGTGTGGCTGGGACAGAACCAACCAGAAGGAAACTAGGGCTCTCCTGCTTGAAGGGGTCAGCCAGAGCTGCGTGGACCCTGGCTGCGGGCAGCATAGGCTGGCGTCAAGGTGGAGATGGACAGGATAGCTGTCCACACCCGAAAGGGGTCTCCCCACTGAGCGTGCCCGAGACAACAGGAGATACTTGGAGCCAGGTACACAGCAGGTGATCCATCGGTGGGAGGTCCCCAGCCAGAGGCTCAGGGGTGAGCTGGCATGGGTAAGGACAGGAGCTCAAGCCCCAGACAAGCAGGGTGGTTTCCAGCTGAAGCTCCAGGCCCTGCAGGAAGAGGGACAAGGGTAAAAGCCAGATCTGAGCTGACCCACAGCCAGAGCCTGGGGCGCTAAGAGTAACACTGAAGGTCACCTGCTGAGGTGCTGTGGCCAAGCGGCCACTCTTCAGTCAGTCAGGGTGGGCCTGGGGCTCCCACTGGGAGAGGCAGGGTAGCCCACACCTGGGGCTGCCAGGAGCTGGAAGGAAGGGGCGGGAAGAGCCTCAGTCCTGGCTGCGGAAGAGCTCGTGTCTCCCCTGCATTTTACCCGTAGTTTGACTCTAGGAGCTCATCATGTGCAGTTTCCTGTATTTTAAAGGGTGGATGCATCACGCCCTCTGACCTCTCCCTCCCTGAGCCCCACCTGCACAAGGCTCACCCTGTTTCTGAAGCTGCCTTGAACCTAACCCTCAATTCATCCTTGACCCTCACCCCATCCGGAAATTTCTTCCATCTCTGGACTTCAGCCCCTCCCTGACTTTCCACCCCCTCCTCAGTCCACCCCAGTTCTAAGCCTCTCTGCTCCCTCAGCTGGTTACCCCATTTCTGACTCCTGCCCCACCCCTGCCATCCCACACCCCACCCCAGATCCTTCTGCATCCTTCCCACTCACGCTGCCTCTGGAACGGGATCAGGACTCAGCAAGGCTGTGGGAAGAGAGATGACTGTATCTGTTGCTCATATTCCTTAGAAATGATTTCAAAGCTGACTGGGCATGGTGGCTCACACCTATAATGCCAGTACCCTGGGAGGCCTAGGTGGGCAGATCACTTGAGGTCAGAAGTTGGAGACCAGCCTGGTCAACATGGTGAAACCCTGTCTCTATTAAAAATTAGCCAGACGAGGTGGTGGGCAGCTGTAATCCTGGCTCCCCGGGAGGTGGAGGCAGGAGAATCACTTGAACCCAGGAAGCGGAGGTTGTAGTGAGCAAGATCGCGCCACTGAACTCCAGCCTGGGTGACAGAGCAAGACCCTGTCTCCAAAAATAATAATAATGATTATTTCAGAGCTAAGAGGTTCCTGTTTTCTTTGGGGAGCCAAAAAAAAAAAAAAAACAGGTGGGAATTTCAAAATGTACTTTATAAAACAGGTGGAATTGCAAAATGACCACATTAAAATACCAGATATAGATAGTATCAATCCACAGCTTGAGACATCAGAGTAGTGGTCCCCCTTGTTTGAGGCAGGAGGATTGAGGCAGGAGCAGGACACAGGGGGAGGGGGGCTTCTGGGGGTTACTGATGTGGTTTCTGGATGTTGGAAAAACAGGTGTGTTCAGTTGGTAAGATTCATCAAACAATGTATTAATTATTTGTGCCCTTTTTGGTATCTACGCTGTACTTCAATAAAAAGTTTTTCTAAAATGCTCTGGGCAGATTGGACCCTCAGGGTAACAGAGCTGGCTGCTGGGTCCCTGTAGCAGTGGGGAAGGCCACACCAGGGGCTCTTGGAAAAGCACAGTCCGGTTCTCTGTTCCCAGGATGGTTTTACCCCAATGGGATGCTGACAACGAGCCCCCGCCCCGCTCTGCTCCACCACACACCCCACTGTCCTCTGGGACCCTGCCTTAGTGCCAGCTGCCTTTCCTACCCTAACAGCTGTATTTTTCAGGTACAATATGACAGGCTCAATCCATTCCTGTTATATATTTCCCAGTAAATGGACAAGGTGAAAACAGTGTCAGTTCAAATCACTATCATGACACTTAATTCTGATTTACTGTACCTTTTGCTGCAATCTTGAAAGTGCCTGCATCCGTGGTGAGCTGGATTGCCCAGTCGGGCCCCACGGGGTCGACGTTAAGATCAGCTTCAATAAAAGAATTTAGGGTAAGGCAGCCCCAGGTGGGTGGGGGGCAAGCTGGGGCCCAGAGGACCAGCCAGCGGAGATGCTGAATCTGCTGCTCTTCCACGCCTCCCTCCCTCGACTCTTTGTCCCCAGCCCTGTGTTTGCAGCAGCTGGGAAATTTATGGAGGCTCCATAAACGGGTTTTACAGACAGCTGTTAGAGCGTGCGGAGCAAGGCTTGGCTGTCAGGGGACCCAGTCGCAGGCTTACAGCCAAGACACTTAAATATTATGGCCCCACATATATAAAAAGTGTGCTGTGCACGTCCTCGGCTGCCTCCCTCCTCCTGACCTGGAGCACAGGGTCTGGCCAGAGAATAGTGGTGCTGGCAGTTGCTGGCTCGGCAGAGACAGAATGCTCGAAACCCCTTGCCGCAGCCCCTGCCACTGCTGCCACCGGGAGACTCTGGCAGGCTGGCAGGATGGAGCAGAGAGGCTTATCCAAACAGCAGTGGCTGGCCCCCGCCTGCCCCTGCCCTCCTGGCCCGTTGTGCCCAGCTCAGCTCACCAAGTTCTCTTAGCCTCGGGGCCTTGCTCCAGCTGTTTCCACTGCCTTGAAAGCTCCCCCTTCCTTTCTCCCAATCCCCCCACCTTTTCTTGGCCAATTCCTACCTACCCTTCCAGAATCCAGCCTAAATGGTGCTTTCTGAAAGGCACTGTCACTGCCCTTCAGAGTCAGGTCTCCTGTTAGAAATGCTCATAGCCCCCCTGGACTTCTTCATAACATTTATAACAATTGTAATTAAATAATTATTGGTGTCATTATCTGTTTAACGTCTGTCTTCCCCACTGGACAATAAACTCCGTGAAAGCAGGGACTCTATCTGAATGTATCCCTACTGCCTTGGGCAGGGCCTGGCACTCAGTGAATATGCAATGAAAGATGGCACACGTGAATGAATGAATAGGCAGAGATGAATTCCACACAACCCTCAGACAGAGCACAGCGACATGTGCTCAGTTCTAAGAGCAGGAGAAAGATTTCTCGAAGAGAAGGCACTCTACAAGGGGGAATCCAGAAAAGGCTTCCAGGGAAGAGATGCCATTAGACCTCATAGTACAAGTAAAGCGCTTTCATTCAGAAGCCCCAATCATGAAGCTCAAAACATGAGACAGTGGCTGGGCGTGGTGGCTCACGCCTGTAATCCCAGAACTTTGGGAGGCCAAGGCGGGCGGATCACAAGGTCAGGAGATCGAGACCATCCTGGCTAACCTGGTGAAACCCCATCTCTACTAAAAATACAAAAAATTAGCCGGGTATGGTAGCACATGCCTGATCATGCCACTGCACTCCAGCCTGGGTGAGAGAGTGAGACTCCGTCTCAAAAAAATGTGAGACAGTGAGTGAGTCCCTTAGTCTCAGTGAGCCTCAGCTTCCCATTTTTAAAATGGGACTAATGATGGTGCATACATCATATGGGTACTGGGAAGGTCAAATGTACTTCCATAGCACGTGTAATAAGAGTTCCTAAACTACATCACTAGTAAATACAGCTGGAGCTGGGTAATGCCAGGGAATGGGAACAACATGTATGAAGGTATTGATGAGGAATAAAAATCATTCACTGCTGCCTTGGAAGCCAGACTTTGTATCTCAGAAATTCAGCCTGAGCTATGTGACCAGGGGAGAGTGTCTGACCTGATAAGAACCAATCACAGATGGCTGGCCAGTGACCTATGACCTAAGGCCAATAAGATTTCCTCTCATGGGCGATTGATTGAAGAGACATGGAAGAACTGGCAGGAAGAGCAGAAACTGTAAGTTGCATGATAAAAATATCACGGCATAACAAAATAGAAATTAAGTAAGTACAGGAGTCAGAGAGAGCCAGTCCAGCCCATCTCAAGCCTTATGATGGAAGTCTTTTTTTTTTTTTCTAGAAGAAGAAAGAGAGAAAGAAAGAAAGAAAGAAAGAGAAAGAATAAAAAAAAAAGAAAGAAAAGAATGAAGGAGAGGAAGAAAGAGGAAGAGGAAGAGGGAGAGAGAACAGGGGTGTTGCTTTATTACCCGGGCTAGAATGCAGTCTAAAAATGGGTATGCCTGTAATTGTGTTTAATAATAGAGACATAAAAAAAAAAATAAATGAGGGAAGAAAATAACTAACAAGATTTCATTTAAACCTGTAAATAGGTGTGATGTGGTACTGATAAGAGTGTATATTTTGTGTATTTAAAGTATCTGAGTTCAAGTCCTGGATATCGATGTTAACTTTCTGTCTCATTGATCTGTCTAATATTGATGTTGAAGTCTCCCACTATTATTGTGTGGGGGTCTAAGTCTCCTTATAAATCTTATATATCTGAGTATTCCTGTACTGGGTGCGTATATATTTAGGATCTTTAGCTCTTCTTGTTACATTGATCCTTTTATCATTATGTAATATCCTTCTTTGCTTCTTTTGATTTTTGCTGCTTTAAAGTCTATTTTATCAGCAAAAATTGCAACTCCTGCTTTCTATTTATTTATTTATTTTTGCTCTCCATTTGGTTAGTAAATTTTTCTCCATCCCTTTGTTTTGAGTGTTTGTGTATCCTTGCATGTGAGATGGGTCTGGATGTAGCACACCAATGGGTCTTGGCTTTTTTTGCCTGTCTATGTTTTTGGATTAGGGGATTTAGTCAATTTACATTTAGAATTAATAATAATATATGTGAGTTTGATATTGCCATTTAATATTAGCTGGCTGTTTTGCCCATTAGTTGATGCAAGTTCTTAATTATGTTGATGTTCTTTATTTTTTGGTATTTTTTAGAAAGGCTGATACTGGTTGTTCCTTTCTATATGTAGTGGTTCTTTCAGAAGCTCTTGTAAAGCAGGCCTGGTGATGATGAAATCTCTGAGTGCTTGCTTGTTCACAAAAGATTTTATTTTTCCTTTGCTTATGAAGCTTAGTTTGGCTGGATGTAAAATTCTGGGTTGAAAGTTCTTTTCTTTAAGGATGTTGAATATTGGCCCCCCTTCTCTTCTAGCTTGTAGGGCTTCTGCTGAGAGATCTACTGTGAGTCTGATAGGCTTCCCTTTATGGGTGACCTGACCTTTCTCTCTGGCTGCCCTCAGTATTTTCTCTTTCAACACTGGTAAATCTGGCGATTATGTGCCTTGAGGTTGGTCTTCTTGAGGAATATCTTTGTGGTGTTCTCTGTATTACGTGGTGTTGAATATTGTCCTGCCTGTTAGGTTGGGAAAGTTTTCCTGAATAATATCCTGAAGCGTATTTTCCAGCTTGGGTTGATTCTCTTCGTCACATTCAGGCACACCTATCAAGCGTAGATTAGGTCTTTTCACATAGTCCCATATTTCTTGGAGACTTTGCTTGTTCCTTTTTATCCTTTTTTCTCTAATCTTGTCTTCTCATTTTATTTCATTAAGCTGGTCTTCGACCTCTGATATCTTTTCTTCTGCTTGATCAATTTGGCTGTTAAAACTTGTGCATACTTCGTGAAGTTCTCGTGTTGTGTTTTTCAGCTCCATTAATTCACTTATATTCCTCTCTAAATTGTGTATTCTTGTTAACATTTCGTCAAACCTTTTTTCAAAGTTCTTAGTTTCTTTGCATTGGGTTAGAACAAGTTCTTTTAATTCCCAGAAGTTTCTTATCATCCACTTTTTAAAGCCTGCTTCTGTTAATGGAACACAGTCTTTCTCCATCAGGCCTTGTTCCGTTGCTAATGAGGAACTGTGATCCCCTGCAGAGGGAGAGGCGTTCTGATTTTGGGTATTCTCAGCCTTTTTAGGCTGGTTTCTTCCCTTTGTTACAGATTTATCCATCTGTGGTCTTTATAATTACCATCTTTATAGTTGGGTTTCTGAATGGACGTCCAACTTGTTGATTCCCTGTGCTAAAATCTGAGCAACCCACTGTGCCGGCCAAAACAGCAGCGTTAAGATTGATGGTGCTTTTCTGACTCTGCACCAAGAACCGCCGCACCAAGACAGTGGCAAAACCGCCTCGCCGGTCACAAGAGTTGTGCTGGCGACCTGTGGGGCTCCTCCACTGGGAATCTTCTGGTCCGTGAGCAACAAAAATTCATCTGAAAATGTGGCGTCCTCTCGTTCTCTGCGCTTTCAGTGGGAGCTACAATCCTGAGCTGCTAGTGATCAACCATCTTGGATCTCTCTCCGATGGAAGTCTTATTTTTTTCTGTTGGAGGAGGCAGCATAGTAGTGCAATTAAATTCAACTTTTTGCTCATAAGCATCCAAGCTGTGTGACCTTGGATAGAATATTTAACCTCTCTGAGCTTCAATTTCCTTGTTTGTAGCATAGGAATAAAAGCATGATCTCAGAAAGTTGTGTGGATTCAGTGAAATAATGTGGCAGACTATATTGCCATTCACTGGTATCCTGACCAGGACCAACCAGCCTGGGTTCAATGATATTGTGACTGCTTAAGGCTTGGCACTACCCCAGGGCCTCTAATCTTTTGTGGATAGAAAACAAGCTGAGAAATATACCTAACCCTCAAAATGAATATATTCTCCAACATGGAGAAAGGATAGGTGGAGACTATGAAAATTGCCAATATTCAACCATTTTGGTTCACAAAAGTGGTTTCATATAGTTCAACATTAGAAGAGGAAGGAGCCCCAGGAGCTGAGAGCCCTGGAGAAGGACTGGGGCATTCCTCCCTGGAGACAGAATCAGGACCTAATCAAGGAATATCCCCCATGCCCAGTGAAGGAACCCATTGAAATGCATGTCCAGCATGATTTCAGAATTTCTCCAGAGCTCTGCCTACCATCTGTCTCCCATTCTGGTCCCTTCAAATAGGAGTGTTTAACTGAGATGGCCTTGTTCCATTTCATAGATCCTTGTGGTTCGAAGATCTCTCCATCAAAATGAGCCAGTTATTTCTTCTCTCTGATGAGTTTCAACTTGATCACAAGATACTGGACTTCGGGTGGACTTCCGCTCGAACTAGTGGTTGGCTGGAACTTTGGATTGCTTGCCTGGAGGTGAGCATGTTCTACATGTAGGAGGTAGGGCGAACTGAACATGTGGGACCAGAAGAACAATGCAATTACAGATTATTATTATTATTATTATTATTATTGGCCACTAATGCCCCAGCCCCGTGAAGTAAGTCTTTGCCATGTAACTCACTTTGGCCAATGGAATGTAAGTGAAAGAGACGTGTCACTCTAAGCAGAAACTATTAGAGTCAGTTTGTACTTGGCCACGTTTACTTTCCTACTAAAACAACAAACACAACCAGCAATGGTCCAGAGAGAGAATGCTCCAGTGGCCTGGATTCCGGAAGAAAAAAAGTGAATTGCCACACCGTAGCCAACTTGCCCTGGAGAGTAGCATGAATGAGAAATAGACACTGTAAGACCCTGGGATTTTGAGGTTGTTACTACAACATAGCTTGGCTTATCCTGACTGACCCAATCACTTAGCACAGAGACTGGCTCAAAATAGGTGCCATGACGGCTATTTTCCTATCTCTTGAAAGCCAAGGAATCATACTAAAAGTCCTGGAGACATACATAAAGTATGAGTTTGGTTTGGTAAAGAATTCAGGGGAACTAGACTGAAGGCTACATGGAGGGAGTAGTTGACAATATAAGTGAGAAACTGAGGCTGGGTGTAGTGGCTCACACTTGTAATCCCAGCACTTTGGGAGGCTGAAGTGGGCTGATTGCTTGAGGCCAGGAGTTCGAGACCAGCTTGGGCAACAAAGCAAGACTCCGCCTCTACAAAAATGTGTGTGTGTGTGTGTGTGTGTGTGTGTGTGTGTGTGTGTGTGTATTAGGTGGGAGAGGTGGCATGCACCTATAGTCCCAGCTACTGGGAAAGCTAAGGCAAGAGGATCACTTGAGCCCAGGAGTTCAAGGTTGCAGTGAGCTATGATCATACCATTGCACTCCAGCTTGGGCAACAAAGAGAGGCCTCCTCTCTAAAAAATAAAAATAAAGTGAGAAACAGAGGCCAGATTATGAAGGACTTGCAATAGAGGCCATGTGTCTAGCTGAACTTATTTTGTAGAGGGTACAAACAAAATCACCTTTACAATTCCAATGTTAATTTCCCTATCAGAAGTGAGAGTGTCTTTTCTTACCCTCTCACACCAAGTTAAATCTGAGATCCCCAGCGGGAGTCAGTGGAGGTTAGTGCTGTCTCACAGAGAGAAGCAGAAAATCCAATCTGTCCACCAGAGGGAGGGCCTGTGTTCCTGGCGGCTGGCTTCTCGGCCTTTCAGTGTCACAGCTGAAAACAGACCCGCCCAAAGCAAGCAGCATAAAAAAAAACAATTGATAGACGTCGCTACACTAAAATGTAAAACTTCTAAATGACCACAGACACCATAAACAAGCTGAAAACAAGCTATAGCCTGGGAGAAAATATTTGCAATTTATATAACAGATAAGGGATTAGCATCCAGAATATATAAAGAATTCTAGCAGATCAATAAGAAAAAGATAAATGGCCCAATAGAACACTCAGCAAATGATAAAAAAAAAAAAAGTCGATTTATAGAAAAGGAAATTCAAATGGCCAATAAACTTGAAGAATGTTCAATTTCACTAGTAATCAAGGAAATAAAACATTAAGCAACCATGAACTGTATTTCACTCATCAGACTGGCAAAAAAAAAAAAAAATTAAAGCTTGATATGAGATGTTAGCGAGAGTGTGTGGAATTGGGGACTCTTGGATCCTCTGGTCACAATGCAAATTGGTATCACCACTTTGAAGAACAAGAAATCCACTTGCCAGTACCTCCCCTGGAGAGAATGTTTGCACGTGTACACAAGGAGACCTCTGTGAGGGTTTTTACTCAAGTACTTTCCATAAGAATAAAAAATTGGAGAGAGCCCAAACGTCTATCAACAGGGGATTTGCTGAATAAGCCATAGCATGGCCATACTATGAAGTATTATGCAACCATTTAAAAGAATGGGGTAAATCTGACATCACCTGGAGAGATATTGTTGGGTAAATAAAGCAAGTGGCAAAAAATACTTTGATGTTGGAAACAGATGCTCAGTGCCACAAAGAAAAATTAGCACTGAGACAAAAGATCTTTCAGCAATGCAGTTTTTACTTCCTGGACCTCAGAAAGGGTATTCTTGCTAGCTATCTTGCCACAAGAGTACAATGAACAAAGGAACACACACAATTTTATTCCTTATGCATTTGGAGTTGTCCTTACTGCTGTGTCTGATCTCCGTTGGCTGGAGTCAGCCTCACAATCGAAACTAAAACCCGATTGGCTAACAACTTAAAACTTTATAACAGGTAAAAGGAATGGAGAGTTGTGACATGCCTGTGAACACATCCAGCACAGATATCTTGGTTAAAGTACAAGGACATAGAGTGTACTATGTGCCTGTACGCATGGCATATTTAACAGCTACGTAGGATGGGGCTTAACAAAGTTATTAGCACACTTATTCTTTAACAAGAGAGGAAAC